TTATCTCACTGAATTATATTTTTTGAATAATATCTTAAACCCTAGTCTTCTTTATTATAACATTAATACCTCTACCATCTTTATCACTATGGGATTTGATTTGACATTTGCGTCTCTGTGCTAATAATGTGGTATGGCAACATGAACTTATGTACATACGTACGAAGTTCTACGTTGCAACTGACTGACTGACTGACCATGCCAGGCATGTCGGTTGGATATCGATGAGACTGAAAGCAGCTAACCAGGGTCTGAGGTTGAAGTCGTACTGCTGACTGCAGAGGGGTGTGACAGCGGTCTTTTCAGATTCCTGAAGAAACACCCTTCCACGGTGTGGGCAGCCGGGAAGTGACAACCACCCTCATACCCATAAAAGTACACGAGACCAAATTAGTCAAAATCAAATCCTTCCTACACCACCTAATACCTCTCTTATCTCCACGACTAACTCTTCGCATTTTCCTTTATTACACTGCACAGCTGATGCAAACGATGCGAGTTCACGAAACGTCATTTCTGATCTCCTGAAAACACGTTCTAGACTACATGTCGGAAATTTTAATGTACGGACATTGTGTCAAATAGGGCAACAGGCTTCGTTAGCTAAGACATTAGAATCTCGCGCCATCGATGTATGCTGCGTCTCGGAAACGCGCATACAGGATCCTAGTAAAGTCATTAATCTGATTTCGCCTTGTCAAAATAAAGAAACAGCCTGATTTACCCTTCGTGTATCCGGTAGGCCTGATGCTGCTTCTTGGGATCTCGCTGGCATAGGTATAGCGTTGAGTCCTAGGGCAGAACTTTCTCTCCTAGACTGGATCCCAGTAGATGGTCGCTTGTGCGCTATCCGACTAAACGAGACAGTAAGGACTCACCGTGGCCTCTTCGTCAAATATGCCTATGCTCCCACTGACTGCAGTCCAGAAGAGGTAAATGATGAGTTTTACAGAAAGCTTTCGGACCTACTCCAAAACGTTAGGCACTCTGATGTAGCGATAATGGCTGGTGACCTTAATGATCAAGTAGGTATACTAATTGAGAAGGAAAGACACCTGGGTGGATGTTATGGTGTCGCGGACGAAAGAACTGATAATGGCAACCGTCTGTTGCAAATATACTCAGATAACTGCCTATTCCTAGCAAACAACAACTTTAGGCATAAGGAAAAACATCTTTTGACCTAACGTTGGATCTATCATATCGCCATCAGCCACCGATGGAGGGGTCCGATAGAGGACTGTCGTTCGTTCTGGGGCAGATGTCTAGATTCAGATCCTGCCCTAATGCGAGCACGCATTTGTTTGCGACTTACTGGACGTAGGAAAAACAGCACAAAGAAACCTCTTAAGGTTCTATCTAATGATAGCAGAGCTATAAATATATTTCAGGAGCAACTAGAAAGAGAGTTAAGCAACCGTGTAGGTGACTCCCATCTGGAGGCAGCTTGGAATGATATCAGAAAGGCAGTAGAAACAGCAGTGATACCTGCTAGTAACGTAAACCATAAAGCAAGAATGAAGCCATGGATCTCTGTAGCATCTACCGAACTGACTGATGCTCGAAAACTCATCCCACCTGGCTCTGAATATGATGAAGAACTAAGTCAGCTTAAGAGCCAGCCGATAGAAAGCCTACGGAATGATCGCGAAGAGTAGTGGGTAGCGGAGGCAAGAAAGATGAAAAGGCAACGGTGATAGGCGACAGTAGACAACTTTTCCGACTTATCAAGGAGACCGGTATTAGGAATTCGAATGTAAGTGAGACTATTTCGGAAAAGGATGGTCTTATTATGCATTCTCAATCCAGGAGACTGGATCGATGGGTAGAACACTTTAGGGATCAGTTCAATTGGCCTTCAGCCACACTTCGGTTACCCACGATCTCCAGTCATCCTGAATGACAAGTCGACGTAAGCCCTCCGAACCTTTATGAAATTGGAAAGGCTATAGGAAATCTGAAGTGAATGAGAGCAGCAAGACTTGGTAGATTAACCCCTAAATTTTTAAGGATGACAGTCCAGTTTTAGTAGCTAGATTGACAGAGAATATAGGTAGAATCTGGGAACTGGACACAATCCCGTCCGACTGGTCTCAATCCATGATTGTTCCGATTTATAAGAAAGGACAAAAGTCTTCTTGTGACAATTACACGGGAATAAGTCTAACTAATATAGTTTATAAATTGTTAGCCTCGATTATACTTAGACGCCTAACTAGAGCTCGTGAAGAGCAGACTTGAGAAAACCAGGCTGGTTTTCGACCTGAACGTGGCTGTATAGACCACATCTTCACACTACAACAGGTCCTAGAACACAGACACACATTTAGGAGTCCTACAATAGTTGTCTTAAGGCGGTATTTGACTCAGTGGATCGTGAGGTTCTGTGACAGTGCCTGTCATTGAAAGGTGTACCAAAGAAGTACATTAACCTTATACAAGCTCTACTCTAAAACTACTGGTCGGGTGAGAGCTTATGGCGAACTGTCATCAGAATTCTCTACTTCAAGTGGTGTTCGTCATGGATGTCCACTCTCCCCATTATTGTTTAATGTTGTCATAGACCTGCTCCTAGATGTAACCTTATCCTCGTCTGAATTTTCAGAAGTCGACTTTATACCAGCAAAATCGCTTACTGACCTAGAATATGCCGATGACATATTTCTATTCGGTGAAGACGCTGACAAAATACAGAGTCTTCTGACTACACTAAGCAACAATGCAAGCATGTTCGGGATGCGGTTTTCACCCTCGAAATGCAAAATATTGCTTCGGGATTGGGTCGCATCGTCACCTGAACTAGTGATAGGGAGTGAAGCAGTTGAGCGTGTAGACCGCTTCACGTATCTGGGTTGTCTCATCAGTGCTGATGGCCTGGTGACTGACGAAATCTCAGCACGGATACAGAAGGCTCGACTGGTTTTTGTTAACCTGCGCCCCCTATGGTGCAGGCGAGATATACGCCAAAGGACGAGTGTACTGCGCAGTAGTTTGCTCCATCCTACTATACGGATGCGAAACATGGCCGTTAAGACTAGGTGTTCGTAGGTTACTAGTATTAGATCATAGGTGTCTCCGAAGCATTGCTCGTGTATCCTAGGACAACCGTATAAGCAATGCTGTTATTAGGAAACGAATTCTATGTAGGGATGGCAAAGCAATAGATGAAGTATTTAAACTTTATCAGTTGGGGTGGTTGGGATAGGTGTTACGTATGGCTAACCACTGACTGCCGCGACGAGCTATGTTTTTCAGTGCAGGAGTAGATTGGAAGAAAGCTAGGGGCGGCCAAATCAAAACATGGCAGAAATCCATGACGTCACTGACAAGTGGACTGAGTCATGTTGGTAGATGTAGGGTACCTGGTTGGGGTCCGAGAGACAAAAGTCACCGATGGTTAGATACCTTGAACGACATGGCTCAGAATCGTTTACAGTGGCGCAGGTGCATCCACTCTTTGTGTGCTTTTTAATTCTAACCTTCTGAATTCCTCATCATCTCTACCTTTCTCCTTCTAAATTTATCTTACTGAATTATACTTCTCGAATCATATCTTCGCTCCCTAATCTTCTCTATTACTGCTAATACTTCTATTATTGCTATCACTCTTGGATTTGAACTGACAGTTGCGTCTCTGTGCTGATGTGGTATGGCAACCTGGACTGATGTACTTACGTACGAAGTTCTGCGTTGTATCTGTCTGTCAGTCACCAGGCCAGCAGAGCTGATGAGGCTACCCAGATAATGGAAGCGGTAGGCACGCTCAACTACTTCACTCCCTATCACTAGTTCCGGCACTGTTGCAAGCCAATCTTGAAGCAACGTTTTGCACCACTTGAAGTAATCGATTCCAATGACAGTTCATCATAAGCTCTAACCCGATCAGTGGTGTTTGAACAGATAGCTTGTATCAGGTTAATGTACTTCTTTGGTACACCTTGAGGCCAGTTGCATGATAGGTTGAGTGCTGTTTTTTTTAAACTAGCTTCACCACTAATAACCCTTATTACTGGCAAAAGGAATCCGCTAGTCAACTATGTGCTGGTTTTATGAATGACCAGTCCTAATACTTTCCACCTGCAAATGCTGATTATGCATTAGACACGTCTTATTCTAGTCACACTGGTACAGTCAACAGTACAAATTTATGGTGGAATTGAGGATCCATTACTTTTTGTGCTATCGCACTTTAAGCGAATTGTTCGTGATATTAGGATATCAGTGAGCAAGTGTTCCAGTTAATATAACTCCATTTGGTCATCACAAAAGAAGATTGAACATGATGTTAATGTGGCAGCTATGATCACGGATTCTAAAATCAGTTTTACTGACTGATAGCTTACTTAGCATGTAAACTCATAGTACGCAGTACTATTTAGCGATACTAACTGGATGTAGTCCTCTGAGTGGTTTGAGTAGCGATGTGCATGAGTGACAAAGTAACAATTTATTAAGTGCATTAATCTACCTTTCGACGCATCGATCATGTGATTCAGTGGGTTATTAAATTCTAATAAACTGACAAGTGAAACGAAGCTAAAGATATGAAAACTTAGTTTCATCTCGTCAACCTACACTATCTATAGTGTAGCAAACAGAGTGGCGAGTATAATATGCGAATTTTGCTTCGTATTACTGAGTAGTAAACATGGCTCCTGAAAATGGAATACATAACTTGGTTGCTAGTATTTGACAACAGATATACTCACTTTTTTATATATAATGAAGACGTGAGCACAAAGTAGGCACGCTCGGTTAGTGAATAATGTAGTTATTTGCACTAAGCTCAACACTCCAGAGGTAGGTTCAAAATACTGAACGGTCTTATATATCACAAAAAAGAATGTGAATTAAATTTGAGGAAATCGGAATAAAAAACTATGAACTTTCTATATCACAGCAAATTAAGAATCGGATTTTCTGCTTTAAGAAAGGTATTTACAACAATTTGAGTGATCAGAAATGAAGTGAACATGTAGATGGTGTTGAGAACAACTGACCTTAAAATCATATGCATATCGCTGAATCAATTCTGGAGCCATCCAAAATGGGGTTCCAACAAAGGTACCACGTTTAGTTATGGTTGAACTTAATTGACCAGCGACACCAAAATCGGCCAACTTTACATCACCACTGTAGGAAAGCAGTACATTAGCAGCTATCAAAAGATGAGAAGCATAACAATCAATTAATAGGATGCGGAAAAAAATCAAGAATAAATTGGAAAAATAAACCTAAATGCATGTTGTTTAGTCAACCAGCACGCTAGAACTGTTCTTCGAAAAATGTGTATTTTAGGATACTTGTATTACAACTGATACCAGATTGTAAAGAAAACCATAATTTTAATTCCACAATCCTGATTCCAAACATTAATTAATAACCGAGGAGATCGTTATTTATGGACGAGTCAGTCAAGAATGACCAAAGGCTTGGTTTAATAGTCGTGGGTAAGCTGTTGGTACGCAGCTTCGCAGTTCAGGCAGCACTGCATTAATTACTATATATGTAGATAGATTTTTATTATTCCGTTGGCGTCAGATACTCATCGTTTCTAAGAATAAAATTTAGACTTCTATTTCTGTTAAACTATTGGTTTTTGGCAGAATGGGGCACATATGTAGATTGGCTCCATTGACACCACATATGCTGAAAGTAAACGCCATAGATTTTTTAGTTTCCTATTGTTGTTTACTCACTGAGAAGTGCAAGTTCTGACAAATTAATTATTACATTATTACTAGTTCTCAACGTATACATAATCCTGCTTGCAAACATTAATTAATAACCGAGGAGACCGTAATTATGATTAAGAAGGCGTTAATTTCGGTACTAAATGTATAGCTATTATGGAATTACTGTGGATTTGGAGGAGGATGTAATTATTAAGTGTCTAAATCAATAGTGATGATGAGTTTGAATTAGTTGTTTGGAGGATTTAGAAGAATCAAAAAATTCTGTAAAATCGACCTCAGTGTTACTTGCACTTTTATACTCCAGCTTACAAAAGTCATGACTTGACTAAGAGTAAATTGCGAATGCAGTAAACATGTTTTTGTTCTTTCAGACTTCATCCTCCAACATATATTGCGCGAAAATACGACGTTATCGCGATAGGCATTCCATTGTCGCTCAATCATGTAGAATTTTCACTCCCATTTGATTCGACTTAACGGCCATTACATCTGTTGTAAATATTACTATAAAATCCTTCATGTCCACAGTAATTCGATAGTAGTTATGCATTTAGTACCGAAATTAACGCCTACTTAATCATAATTACGGTCTCCTCGGTTATTAATTAATGTTTGCAAGCAGGATTATGTATACGTTGAGAACTAGTAATAATGTAATAATTAATTTGTCAGAACTTGCACTTCTCAGTGAGTAAACAACAATAGGAAACTGAAAAATCTATGGCGTTTACTTTCAGCATATGTGGTGTCAATGGAGCCAATCTACATATGTGCCCCATTCTGCCAAAAACCAATAGTTTAACAGAAATAGAAGTCTAAATTTTATTCTTAGAAACGATGAGTATCTGACGCCAACGGAATAATAAAAATCTATCTACATATATAGTAATTAATGCAGTGCTGCCTGAACTGCGAAGCTGCGTACCAACAGCTTACCCACGACTATGAAAACAAGCCTTTGCCCGAAAAATTTCAAATGAATAAACCCAGAAACGAACTTATAAATCAAACCGTATATAACAACAAACCTTTTATATCCCTGTGGATTTTACTTTGACTATGTAGGTAATCTAATCCTTTTAGTATCTCCCTCAGAATGGTAGATATATGAACTTCAGGTATAGGCCCCGGTTTCATCAAATCCAGTGCAGATCCACCGCCCAGATACTCCATCACGATCCACAGAGTAGTGTCCTTCAGGTAAGAACCATGGTACTTCGTGATATACGGACTGTTGCATTGAGACAAAACTTTAATCTCCTGTTGTATATCCTCGATTTCATCCTCAGCAGCTTCCAAGTCAATAAGCTTGATAGCTACAACTTCTCTCGTTTTCCTGTCCACACCCTTATAAACTTCGCCGAAAGAGCCTCTTCCGATCCGCTCAAGAATGTCGTATATGGTCTCTGGGTTAACATTCTAAATGGTAGAAATTGAAATTTGTAGAAGTTGAATGTTATAATAATAACCAGAATTTCAAACTAATGAACCAGAACGACACTCACAACTTTTAATTGCGTTCCCCTCGGATCAGGCATAGTGTAGAGCGAAATTAGCAACCTGCCGCTTTACCTGGATAAATTGAAACAAAGAGACCTAGTGCAATTGATAAAGAATTTTCAAAAATCAAGCTAAATGACTCAAGTTATCCAGAGAGTGAATAAGTTTTTAACGTGATTGTAATTCTGTCCCCCGAAATGTCCATATATCAACTTAAACATAACAGACTATTTATTCAAAACTTCAATCATAGTGGGTTGAAATGATGAAAGGTTTATTCCTTATCTAGGTTTGCAAATGGATTTCTGGGTATAATTTTTAAGCCGACTGGGGGGTATCGCTCGAAACAGTATCTTTAAGTACCATAGGTCGTCTTCAACCCACGTTATGAAAGGCTTCTATCGGGTAGTCTTTTCGAAAGTCGTGTAGAAGCGATATGAGTATGCGGTCTGCTAGAAAGGATCATGATTGACTTTGAACATTATTATTTTATTTCCAACTTATTTTCCTGAATTTTATCCTTCTATCTTCCAGTTTTTACTCGTTTTTATTCGGATGAAAAGATATTCCTCACGGAATGATGAGCATAATGAAGAGGAATTTTCGAAATGAAGTCTTAGATAACTTCTAAAAACTGTTTCGGCCGGTTCGAAAGTTAGATTATTGAAGCGTCTGTTTGGAAATCCCACAACCAAATAGAAAGTGTATTTGCTATTTTGAAGACATCAAGATTTTCGTTATCTCTGATACTTAGCTGCTTTTCTGTAAGGAAATGTACATCATAGATATCACACAGAAAGGATGAGTAAAATATTTAAGTAAAATACACAATTAGCATTCTGCACTGACTGACTGAACGTGGTAACTTTTCCGTAGTGTGATCATTTATTTTTTCAAGTCTTTATTTCTAAAACCAGGCTATAACAGAACAAACGCCGCAGTTTAATTACAGCGATTTGCATTCACAGTAGAAGTGTATTGTTTTAAATGACACAATTTTGAGACACTTAGCAATACCCGATCAGATCCTCTAACTAAAAAGAAACACCAAAATGGGACTTCCTATAATCGAACAATTTTTCGTACCGTTTTCTTATTCTGCGGGTGAGGATAAATCATATTTAAATTTAGTTGAACTCTTATTGTTAACATTTTGTATGAATGATTTACATTCGGGCGACAAAGGCCATTTTTAATTCAGCATGGCTTTGTTAAGGAACAGTAGCTTTGTTCATACTTATTTTCTAATTAGATAAAAGGGGGTATTCGATATCGTTCGTAACAACTGACTAGGAATTTCATGAAGATGAAAACTTTGTCCAGGGTTTGCCAAATTCTTTGAACAAGTGATTTAATGTTGTGTGATGTGATTCATCCTACAGATGTACCATCATAACTTTGAACGCAATATTGGGGAATACGGAGTCGAATTTGTGTAACGCCCCCCCTCTTGAATATTGCTCACTTATCTTTTCAAACATGAATATCATGGACGAGATACTAGCAGAAAATGTCCAAAGAAGCTTCCCATGGTGACTCCTAGGATGGAACCATACTCTCGACTACACAGAAAGTTGCTAACATGTTTCCCTAGAACTTCTATGGAGGTTTCGGTTGAAAAGCAACCTAATACTCCCCTATGAAATAATGTATAACCTTTCGTTCGTCAAATATCGGACGATTATGACCCACGACGCTGCTTACAGACTTGGAAACAACACATATACACTACTGATAACAAAACACAAAAAATCATTGCGCTGTAATTTCTTTGCAACACGAGACAGTCTATTGTGGAACAGATTACCAATTTCTGTCCGTATTTGTGACACAATCATCGGGTTCGAGAAACTACTAATGGTGTTGTTAGATTCTTAAGAAAGAGTTGTAGACTATTTACGGAAATCACATTGAATCCCGAAACACCATTTTATGGTCCACCAAATATTTAGAATAACCTTAGAAATCAATAACATACAATGAATATATTGCACCCACATTAAAATCCATACAGGCTTCACGAAAGCTGTAGAATTTAATTAGTCCTTCAAATGTACCATCATAATTTTGAACGCATTATTGGCGAATACGGAGTCGGTGGGAAAGCTATGGTCAGAGGAAGGACAATTAAGGTGATTACAGTTATCGAGTGAAACGAGTAAACATACCGACCAATATAGCGTGTCTTCTGGAAATGAACAAAATTATGAGTCACGTAATTATAATAAGATAACAATGTCTTTCAATTAGTAAGTCATTTACAACAAAGATAGTTTACAGACACGTCAGACCAGATCACGTGATGAGCGCTTAAACCACAATTTGATTGGTTATTTATGGGAATAACTGACACTCCCCTTCAAGCGGACACCACGTCAAGATCTCGTTATCCTCGCGCTCATATAATCGGTCTCTTCCAGCAGACACAAGTTCGTGTATCTCGGCTGATCTCCTTGATTGTTGCCTTCAGTCGAACGATTCTGACTCGGCCACATGGACTGCCATTGACCTGTCTAACTATAGCTTTCGGCCAGAAATTTCTCGGTGAGCTCATATTGTTTACTAACTTTAGGTCTCCCGGCTGTAGATTCTTTCTCATGTCCAACCACTTAGATTTCGCCTGAAGGGTTGGTAGGTACTCCCATAACCATCTTTATACTGTTTCTGTTAGTGACATGGTGTAAATATGCTATCAGAAACTGACTCTTATGCTTAATTTAACTGCTATAACTTTTTCAGTAAATGTGAAAGCATTTGTGACAATTTGATCTAGCCTGAAAACTGGCGTGACTCATTTAACGTAGTTATTTGAGAATAAATATATTATATAATATTACTCTCCACAGACCACTTGCTACTCGAAGTTGATCCTTGTGAATTAATTTTTAATCAACAAGTAGGTGATGGATTTTGGATCGTATGAATCGAATGGTTATGACTCGAACTTCCTGTATCACTGTGAGTTCATTTTTTGCACGTAATAAAAATTTATTAAAATTTTGTTTACCGAATTTATTGACATCCAAAGGCCCTGCTTTCCTACTTATTTATCACTCTTCTCATGAATTTTCAACACTCTCCTTCTTTCATCAATCGGCTACCAATCCTCCCTATCTACAAACCCATTAAGTGACCTATATCTTACAATTTTTATCATTAGTTCACTTAAAAGCAGTGTGATATGCGACATCGATATTTAACAGTCAAGATTTAGAGACAATAGAAGAGGCATGAGCTTCAAATTTTAGACTTCTGGGGTAATGAACACTCAGATCATATGTTAACAAGAGTGCCTGAATCCTACATTGTTGTGAGAAAGGTGACTTTTCTTGGGATGCTTACTAAAATGCATGATGCCACATTTATTGTGGTTAAAAGGTGGTCGCCATGTTTCGTTCCAGGTAGATAGGTTGTTAATGGCACTCTGAATCCTGGCTTTATCTCGATCCAAATTTTCAGGCTTATAGCTGTATACTATTTTGAGATTAATTGCCTGTTAGTATCGTAGAATCCTTTTTGAATGTTTTGTTTTTTGGAAAATCCCTCCATGTTTACATATTTTGTTATGACATGACGGACTCTTTCTGTTGACATCTTTGGTATTTTATTTGATTCCAATTTGAGAATTTATCATTGTATGTTGTTATTATTTCTATATTTTGTACTTATATTGAAGTTTTTATGTTTGCTTCTGAACTGTATATGTTGTTTAAATTTGATCTTTAATATGGCCACAGCCATATTTGGATTGATACGGTGGCGGTTGGACTTAACGTCACTAATTCAGCCATTGTCTTGGATACTCTTCGGAGTAATTGCGACCTGGAAAGTGCATCAATTCCAGGTACTGCTTTGTATTTCCATCTTTTAATTAATATAGACCGTTTTCTCCTAGAATTGTTGCGTTTTTTTTGGACCTTGGACTGGGAGATACGCGTACAAATTGCACTTATTGGAAACCATTTGAACTGCCACGGTAGAAATCCATTTATATTATCATCTTCCAATTTTTATAGTTTTACATATATCGTTTATGTACATCATAAAAATAGTACAGCTAATAAACTTCCCTGGCTAACTCATCTGGTTTTCACCGGTCTTGATGATGAGAGACGATCGATGTGTTTTATCATTTGTTGGCGTCCATTTTGGAATGAAATAAACCAAGAGTATAGTGGGTTACTGATTCCGAATGACTTTAGTTTGAGGAGAAATCTTTTGTGTAAAACCTTATTAAAAGCTTTCTGGAAGTCGAAGAGAAGGACTGATATTCTATGCCTTTTGTCTTGTTTTTGAGTGATACCATTGAGACAAACTAGCAGGCATGTCGTATGACCTGGACCTCAAGAACACATGTTGTGACGTCGATATGAGATGTTTATTATGTAGGTGTTGTACAAACGCCTCCCTTACTACTATCTCCACCACTTAGAGACTACTGAGGTAATGTTTGTGTCTGTAATATTCAACATTTCCTGTTTGCTGAGATTTAATTGTGTGGGTAGTGTGCGTAGTCTTCTAGTCATTAAGGCAACATTCTGTATTATTGACGGATGTATTAAATAGTTTAAGAATTACAACCTGCAGACCATTATTCTCATCTTTCAGCATGCTAGATGGGATACCATCTTACCCTTCTATGTAATGATGCTGTAGTGTACTATTATCCTAAGAAATGTTCTCTACACCGAGGTCTACGCTGACGATTTCAGAGGAAGGCATTAAGGTCAGGTTTGATTCATTAATTGGGTTTACCTTTGTTAATGAAGCACTAAAGTGTTTGCTAAACAGCTCTGCGATAGGTTTGCTATCTTCATACACTTGGTCGTCCTCAATAAATATGTTCTCTCCTTTCACTTTAGAGCATTTAAGTTTATTTCGAAGGATTTTAATAAGTGCGGAAGATGCATTATCCAGTTTGACGGCACGTTTTTCATGTGCACTTGCCTTTTTCGTACGTATTATCTCTGTCTCAACACATGTTTCTGTCATCGTAACTGGTGAGTAGAAGTGATTACGGTTATGACGTCTGGAAGCA